TGAAACTGTGTCTATTCTTGAGTTTGTTGCAACACTATAAATTTTAACTACCATGTTGTGAAACTGTGTCTATTCTTGAGTTTGTTGCAACACTATAAATTTTAACTACCATGTTATGAAACTGTGTCTATTCTTGAGTTTGTTGCAACACTATAAATTTTAACTACTATGTTGTGAAACTGTGTCTATTCTTGAGTTTGTTGCAACATTAATAAATTTTAACTATTATGTTGTGAAACTGTCTTTTCTTTAGTTTGTTTTAACATTATAAATTTTAACTATCATGTTATGAAACTGTGTCTATTCTTGAGTTTGTTGCAACACTATAAATTTTAACTACTATGTTGTGAAACTGTCTTTTCTTTAGTTTGATTGCAACACTATAAATTTTAACTACTATGTTGTGAAACTGTCTTTTCTTTAGTTTGTTGCAACACTATAAATTTTAACTACTATGTTGTGAAACTGTCTTTTCTTTAGTTTGTTGCAACACTAAGTTTTAACTATTATGTTGTGAAACTGTCTTTCCTTTAGTTTGTTGCAACACTAAATTTTAAATATTATATTGTGAATCTGCATTACCAGTAGATCTGTATTACTGTTTTATTTGTTGTTAAATTCTTTTATTTGATTTGCTATAACACTACATTTTATTATTCTGTCTATTATGAAACTGTATGTCTTGTTTGGTTTGCTGTCACAGTATATTTTACATGGTCTGTTGTGAAATTCTGTCTTCTTTGGTTTACTGTAACACTGTATACATTAATTAATCTATTGTGAAACTTTTGTACATCTTTAGTTTGCTGTGACACTGTATATTTTGATTGGTTTATTATGAAACTGTATATCTTGTTCAGTTTTCATGATACAATACACTATTTTAAATATTCATTTCTTTGTTGATACTTGCTTTTAACCCCTTACTGAACTGTAGGTTTTGAAAGGAACTTCATGAACATTTTTATTATTTTTAACAGCAAAGTTTGAGTGATGAGTCATGAATCAGAATGTTTACAGATGACGAACATCTGTGTTAGGTTGAAAATTAAAAAGGAAGAATACATTTGAATAACAGCAAAGTTGTCTTAGTTGTTATTATGTACTGTCTCTAATTTAAGTTGTAAGAAATTTGTTAGTTAACAGTAATTATATTTATGTTCCTTTTTTGTGTTTAACATTTTCATCTTTTTCAATAAAGCCAGGTCAAGGATATTCACAGTGTGTTAGAGGTTACTGTTTATGATGAAGATCGGGATAAACGTTGTGAATTTTTAGGAAAGGCTGTTATTCCTCTGTTAAAGGTAAGAGTGATTATTTCAGCATCGCTACTTTTTTTATTGTTTGAGTTTTACATGTTTTTAACTTATAATGATAATAATTCCAAATCATGGAGTTCAGATATTTAACACTAAACATACTGCCATATGAAATATATATAACCAATTTGGAAGGTTTTTACTATCAAACACTTTGCCTTGAATATTATATTATGAAGGCAGTTCGGGACACTTGCATGTACCTTCTTCAAAACATAAAATTAATGGCAAGATGTCCAATAGTAAAAACTTTCCAGGTTATGCCCTCTTCCCAACCGAGTCTCTCAAACAGCACATTACAGATTGATTTACTCATTGTGCTATCTGAATTAATAATATTTACTTTTGGATACTATATTTTACAATAACTGTGGTATTATGGATTCACTTCACATTATTTTGTGTCTAATAAAATACCTGGAATTTTTGGTTATATACTACTTTTACAATAAATGTAACATTTCCATTAATTTTACAAAATGCTAATGATTGTAATTAATTATCTGTTTCACAATTTTTCTGTGACAGTAGTTATTAACATAAAGTTATTTTATTACCTAGATCATAAACTTAATTTCACATTTATTCCTACCAAGCAGTAATAAACCGTTAGTTGTGTACTTTTTTTCAGTCATATCATGCTCAAACTCATCACAAGATAAATCAGGTTCAGAGTCAGAATTATTATCAGTTGGCACAAGTTCAATTGACTCCTAAAATGTAAAAACAATGAAGTGATTTGATGCTGTTTTCTCAAAAATCAAACATTTTTCAACTGCAAATGGTGGTGTAAGTTCTGCAGCTCCTGCAATTATGAGGGGGACCCGAAGGGCCTGACGAGTTTAAGAATTGCTAACAAGGAGGATAAATGTAGAGACCTAATCACTTTTTATGCTGAGGGTCCCATCTTTTGTAGTTAGGCCACTGACTGCAAATATTACCAATATTTTAATAGCAGCACATGCTATGTTGCATATTAATCAGTGGTTGAGATCAAACCGAAATATGTGGTTACCAAATAGTGACAGGCACATCTAAAGGGTTAAAAAGTACAAATCCATGTGAACAGTCGCACCAAACAGTATGTCAGTGTTTTCATCAAATGATGCAAAGTATCATGACAGTTTCTTCAAGATTAAATACTTAAACAGATCAGATAAAAGATAAAAGTTTACAAATAACCACACATAAAATACATTCACACAGTAGACCATTCAGAAGATCTTCAACAACAACAGACTAATCAAGGGTATATTTGATCAACAGACTAGTTAAAATATAGTCTCAAAACAGTTTATATTAGATGTTCTATGTCACTGAACAGTCACATATATAGTTTCACAACAGGTCAGTCAGCGATGTAGTTTTACAATAAACCAATTAAAACCAAACATCAATGGCTTTAAAATGGAACTTTACTGGTATGAACTAGGTATTTAGACATATCTTGTATGTTCGTTTCCATTAAACTACCAGATCCATTTCAGTCAGTATAAGCATAAGCAAATAATAAACAGAGTTGAACTGATAACAACTATTACGGCCAGTATGACAAGATAAGACTGGTTGTACATCGAGTATTTCTTCCAACAAAACCATGATTCAGATTATTCAAGGGCAGTTTAACTAGATTTAATGTGTTACAAATACTCTGAATGCAATACTTTTACCAAACTACAATGAAATAATGGTCGAAAGATAGTTTGTATTATTGTGGTCTGAGTACGTCACATAAGCTATATTATCATCTATTTTCAGTCCATTATTTTGTATATTAATCAAACTTTTAAAATTAATTGTAAAGCCCAAGTGTTAACATCTACTGAGTAAGTCATAATGAACTAGGTTGTGAGTTGTCTGGTTTGGGATTGAAGTTATGGTAACTCGGTTGTCGGAACACTAATGTGAAACAAAGGTGTTGGTTTCAGGTCCTAGTCAGGGCAAATTACTTTTTACTTACTTCAGACTATTAAAAGTAGTGATACAAACCAAACATTGTATAAAAATCTGGTGTAAATTAATAAATATAATAAAATGTGAAAGATTTATACTAAATATTATGATAAATAATTATTTTTTACTAAAAAAAAAAGAGATGTTCTAACTGAAGTATATGATGTAAGTTTAGTAAGTTACACCTGTTATTGTGTAGAGCAGTGGTTGGCAATCTTTTTGGATCACAGGTTAGTTATTTTTGTTGTTGTTGTTGAAAAATTTAGCATTGTGTTGGGTCACTGATAGTCATATAATTCTTAATACCAGTACATGTATTTAAATGTGTATGTTTATTTATGTACAACAAACAAAATAAATTATATTCAAAAAACAAACAAGATGATTCATTTGCCAAACACACTTAACAACAAAAAATAAAGTTCTTGATTGATTTTACAACACACAATTTAACGACTTTCTTGGTACACTTTTACACGTTGCTCAATCTCAGCCATGTGAGTAGTGAGGTGGCAATGCACACGTCATTCAGTCTGGCACCCTGCAGCCATGATGGCAGTGAAATAGAAACGAAGTAATTTATCTAGCCTACACATCTGTTCTGTTGTCACAAATAAAACACTACCATCACACACACAGACACACACATACATATATATATATATATGTGTGTGTGTGTGTATGTATGTCTGTGTATACATATATTTACCTGTAAAATTCTCTGTTGCCCTGACTTTTTCCCCCTCTTTCCTTTGATATCTTTGTTCTTCTCACATAGCCGAGAAATTTGAACTGATTAACTGAGCAATGATTGTGCAGCTGGTTGCAACAGTTAAGCCAACTTTTGGCGGATCAGCCAAATCATTGATGTGGGTCGTAGATTGCCGACCACTTAGTTGACATACTTAGTTATAATCAACAGAAATAACTTATTTTCAACATCATGCTATATGTAGTCCTTTTGAAAATTATGATAATGTACATCAACATGATGTCTTGATTGTGTAATTTGGCAGTAAGGGAAGTTGGATCTAGAAGTTAATAAGTTTTTTAACTTAGTTATATCTGAGTTAGAAAACAGTTAAAGTATATATGGTTTTGGACATTCTATTTTAGTGTATTATGTATATTTTAAAATGCATTTTTGAAAGATGAAATGATTTCTTTTCTGCAAAGAAGTTAAAGAAAATTTAAAAAAGGCTTAGCTAGCCAAGGGACGAGTGCGAACTTAACAAACACAGTACGAGTGCAGCTTGTGAGTGTATGGGAAAATGGTTATCATATGTGTTCAACTTGTGATTCCTGTGTTTTATGCATGAATGTACTGTACACTATACAAGCCAGGCAATAAAACTATAAAATTAAAAATAAACTATATGTGTAAAGGTAAACAATAGAAATTGAGAATAACATAAATTCCTATTTTGGAAACATATTAGTTAGGGAAAGAAGAAGGTAATCTCACTTTATTTCATAATTTTCAAAATTTCTTTTCAGTTTCACTGTACATTGATGATTCTGTTAATTAGTGTTAGGAAGAGAAAATAACATATAAGATATCATAAAAAAAAGTTTTGAAACTGTAAGATGGAAAGAGTTATTTTTATTTTTTGTAAAGTAAATCATCTTGCTCTCAAACCAGTCAGAGTCTTAGTCAGGCTGACACAGTAAATACACAGAAAAGGTTCTAGTAAAAATGCTTTATATGCAGATTTGTAATATTTATTGAAGGTAAAAACCTTGTCGTATTTTGTGAAGATACACTTAATAAATTCATAACTATAGTAAACACCACCATGTATAGCTTCAAAGAAATGGGTTGGTTTAATGGCTTATAACCATCACCATAAGGCTAAAGAACATTTAATAGTTTTAGCTGATGTCATCAACTACAAAGATTGTTGTATTTCTTAGTTAGTTATATCGCTAAGGCTGAAATGTTAAAGTGGATAACTTTAGTAGATATGAACATTTTTATGGCAATTTTTTAGTGTTCAGGGCTGAAGGATTGGCTGCAGCTGATATTGGTGGTAAGAGTGATCCTTTCTGTGTGGTGGAACTTGTGAACTCTAGACTCCAGACTCATACAGAATACAAAACCTTGACTCCGGAGTGGAATAAGATATTCACGTTGTAAGTAAAATACTCAATTCTAGATATACAGAGAAACTAAAAGTAAAATTAAAAGAGATGTAAAAGTAATTACAAATAATATACACACACACACACATATGATATGATAAATTTACTGCAAGTATAAACATCATTAAACGTAGCTTTCAACACTTTGTATTGACCAAAATGACCAATGACAGATGTTAATGTTAGTTAGAAATATGTATATCGATAGGTTGCAGTATCGATCAAAAAATATTAATTTGAAATTCACCTATATGTTTTATATATAAATGGACACTAAAAAAGAAGCTAGACATCTGCCGTTGGTAAGTTCTAGCTGGTAGATAGTCAAACTAAGCACAGTAAATTAAATCAGTGTATTAATAAGA